AAGGGATAGCATAGAAAGATTCAGCTATAGATAATATATGTGATAGTTCAAATTGTAATAAAGCAATCCAAAGAGTATTATTCATATAAGCCAAGACAGAGCATTGTTTTTGTAATAATTTAAATGTTTATGATATATTTTTATATATAAAACAAAGTTATTTAAAGAATAAAAATAGAATTAATTAATAAAATTTCAAGAATTATAACAATTTTATAATTTTATTAATAAAATTATAAAAAAAATTATTATTTTCAAAATTTTATTAATTAATTCTATCTCTATTCTTTAAGTAACTTTGTTATAAACATAAAATACATTATATTGATATATATTTATTTTTTATTTTATTTTTAAATTTAAAGAAAAGATACTTAATTTTTGATTTTTTAATGAAAAAATCCAAAATTCATGTTTCTAGTATAGTTTAAGTATAAACCAAGTTTATTGAACCTGAACTAAACTTTAAAATTTGCAGATCATTAAACCTGAACTTGAACTGAACTTCAAATTTTGCAGATCATTAAACCTGAACCTAAACTAACTTAAAATTTATAAACTTGAACTGAACTTAAACTTGAATTAAAAGTTCAATACTGAACCTGAACTAAACTTTTTTTTAAAAAAAGTTCAAGTTCAGTATTGAACTGAACCTGAACTTAACCAAAGTTCAGTTCAGTTCAAATTCATAGAAACACTATTTGCAACTATATAAAAAATAACTATATAAAAGTTAAACTCTATAAAAGTTAAACTATATTTTCAAAAAATTTATATAAATATAATTTTTTAATGCATTTTGTACTTAGGACACTTTCAATATTTCATTATTTTACTAAACTAACCCCTGTCATGTAACATAATAAAAAATGTTCCTATAACAATTTTACTTTACGTATCCTCAACCCTAATTTGAATTCTAATTCTTATTTGTATTCATTTTGCAATAAAGTGTACCAAGTGCACCTTACTTCAAAAAGTTTACTCTAAAATTTTATAATTTTTTTAAAAACCCACCCAGATAGTAAATTTTTTCAAATATTTTGTAAAATTCGACCCAACCAGTTACGAGAACCGATTTATTAAGTTTGTATGGCCTTACATTGCCCATCCCTAATTGACAATTACTTATAAATGACTATATTTCATTTTCCAAGTCATCAAAGATTAGTTCTAAAGATTTTCTCTCGTTCCACAACTTTCGAATATTCTCAACTGTAAGCAATTCTGAATTTACCTCAGTAACGTAACCGGTAATCAACCCAGATTCTAATCTTTCAAAATATATATTTCTAGCCCGTATATTTTTACAAATTTTCCATTGATCACCATAAATTTCTGTGACTTCAATTGTAGCATTTTCTTCTACTTGATCGTTATCATATTCACCTGCGATTTTATCCGCACGTGACACTATGTATACTGGTTTTCCATGATGTTGGGCAGCCAATGCCAATGGAACAGATCCAATCTTGTTTATCACGGACCCATCATACCCCAAAATACGATCAGCTCCAAGCAAGACATGAGTCACAGTTGGCATGAAAAAATCGCATGAAGAGTCCGTAATAACTTGTATACTTACGGATTCATTTTGTTGTGATAACAAGGATGATAATTTTTGTCCTAGAATTGCACCCTCATTTAAAGGCCGCGACTCTAAAATAGTAATCGTAAGTGTTCTAGAATATTCTAAATTATCATCCTTAATAAGATTAGCAAGAGCAGAAAATATTGTAGAGGAATAGCTCATTGTCATAATATGTAACAATTGATCATTAAATTTAGGAAATAACGCGGTAATAAAAGCTGTGTTGATTTTTTGTTCTGCTTCATGAGACAGTATTTTCGTTGCCCTTATAATACCAAGAACTTGATTATCAAATGAATCCATTGATGGGACCTGATCCAAAACTTTTTTGCATTGATGCATGGTTGATATTATCATATATAACGTAGAAGCCTTCATATTAGGTCTGATTTCGCACAAATGCCAACCGATATTAAGATATGCAAAATACAAATCCTTGGAGCTTTGAGAATATTTGTGACATGAATTATTTTCTATAGTTTCGGCAAAAATATCTAAGGCCTTACTTGCCAATTGTTGGGCACCAGAAGATCTGTCGGTAAGCATATCAACCAAACCTAAATGTACATTTTTTGGAAGATACACTCTATAAAAGGTTTCTACCAAATTTGGGACAGTATTGTAAGAAACCATTTCTTCAGGATTGATCCATTCAAAAGTTTCGTGTTCCCAGTCTATTTTAATCTTGTGAATATTGTCAGATTGAAGGCGAAAAAGAAATGGATAGACTTTCCATATTGTAGAAATATTTTCTGCACGAATAGTTAAAGGTTTACCAATACGTATTAATTTGACATCAGATGAACTCAAAGTTGTTTCTTCCTGTATTTCGATTAAAGCACGTTCCAGTGGCGAACTATCATTAGCCTCCATTCCACCACTGATTCCTGCCCAATGAAGTCTAACGATATTATTAGATATAAATAATAAAAGTAAACATTCTCTCGAACTAAACTCTTACTTATAAGTATTAACTTTATCACTACGCTTCAAGAGCAAGACTCGATTTCCCTGACCAATGGGATCGTCTTCTTCAGAAAAGGTCAGAAAGGAGGTGACCGTCTTTCTTTGCTTCATTATGTCTAATAAACTAAAGGAATTATGACTGAAATAATTTTATAGTTTGGGTAACATATTGGATCTAAAATATATATTACGTAACAAAATTTTTCTATCATGTGAAAAATAACCGATGTAACGTAACACGATTAGAAAGATGTTTGTTTTCAAAAATTTGCTTAAGAAACCGCTTCGCTAGCCCTTTTCTAATCCTAAAACTAACCCGAACTAGAGGTTGGAACCGGGTTTAAAAATTCGAGTTTATCACATGAAATTCGAGTTTATAAACTCGAATTTTCATGTGATAAACTCGAATTTTTAAAACTGGTTCCAACCTATAGTTGTTAGGCGAAACCCAAAAAAGGAAATTATAGCAATGATGTTTATTGTTATAATTTCCTTTTTTGGGGGACGGCTAAAGCGGTACAGAATCATGTGATCGAGAGAAAATTTTTTATTGGCCGGATGAAACGATAATCGCGATTGGCAGATTGTTGATTTCTAAAAAAAAAAATTAGATCATAATCCAAACTCTTAGCAAGCTTTTGACTTAACCGTGGTACTGTTTGCTTTGACCTCTTTCACTACCTTATATATTGTATTTTTTTTTTTTTGTTATTGAAAAGACATTTTTTTGATTTCTTTTGTCTTTTTTTTTTTTTTTTTGTACTTTTTATTTTTTTTTTGTAAACATTTTCCATTTTTTTTTCTTTTTTTTTTGTGGATATTTTTCATTTTTTTTTTGTGGATATTTTTTTTTTTTTTTTGTTTTTTTTTTTTATTATTTTTAATGGAAGATGAACATAAACTTCGCGTGTGTTGTTGCCTTTTTGGGCG